TCAGACGGACATGGCTCATCCGTCTTCGCTATTCATCCTGATCAAGAATATATATACTTTATAGGGTCGGAAACGCTTCCTTCTACTTCCTACATTCTTTTCAACGAATCTAGTATACCCTTTTACTCTACGAGTAACGGGTATAAAAATTATGTCAATAGCTTACCCCACTACCAGGCGGTTGTAATACTTAGGAGCAGTACTTTCCTCGTTTGGAACAATATTGAATTTGGATGCGATCATATATCGGCTCGATTTTACATACAGTGACAAACGACAGATTCACGTCATTGAACAAGAGATGGGCACCCTCAGATAAAGAAGCCTCACCATTCTACAGTAATACGACGAGGTTGGGAAAAAGCTCATCTTGCTCACAAATAAAGCCACCATGTCGTACAAAGCGTCGGCGGCAAGAATTTTGTGCGAAAAATTCCGGGATGTATTTCGGGCCTCAAGCGCAGTCTTTCCGATGCCCTCTTCTCGGCAAAGCCGAAGGACATGCCAACTGCGTTGGCATTGGCTCAGGAAGTGGAGTCAAACCATGAGAGATACACTTTCGCAGCATAATTTGCAAAAAGCCAGGAAGATAGGGATAAGAAGCTAACTTCAAAGGTGCCAGAACGCCAACAAACTTCTTATCAAACACACCCCCAAGGAAGTGCGGGCAAAGTGAATTGAGTGAATTGCTCAGATGCACCACCTTTAGTTAAGAAAACATTTTTGAGAATGCTCCGCAACAGAAAAAAAGCTTTCGCGGACCCCAATGAGGCCTTACCTTACAACACGTCGGTGGTTGCCACCATCAGAACTGTTGATGAGGAACCTATTTATGCCAAGCACTACCCATACCCAATGGGCGCAGCCGACTTCGTCAATGGCGAAATCCTAGAACTGCTAAAAAATGGCATAATCCAGAAGTCGAAATCCCCCTACAATAACCCAATATGGGTAGAAGACAAAAATGGAAATGACGATACTGGCAACCGTAAAATGCGACTCCCAAACTGAACGAGAGGACAATATCTGATCGATACCAAATACCAAATATTTCTATGATACTAGGGAATTTAGGCAAAGCCAAATACTTCACAACGCTTAATTTGAAGTCTGGCTACCACCAAATCACACTGGCAAAACGCGACCGTGAAAAACTTCCTTTACCGTTAATAGAGGAAAGTACGAAAATGCCATTTGGACTAAAAAATGCTGCCAGCATTTTCCAAAGAACTATAGACGACATACTGAGAGAGCAGATCGGCCAATTTTGTTACGTCTACGTTGATGATGTTATCGTCTTCTCAGAGGACGAAAACTCCCACATCCAGCACGTAGATTGGGTTCTCAAGAGCCTTTACGATGCTAATATGAGGGTATCAACGCAAAAATTTAAATTCTTCTTCTTTTAGTTTTTTAGGTTTTATAGTCACCAGCAACGGGGCTACCACTGACCCAGAGAAAACCAAGGCCATTCAGGAATTCCCTGAACCCAAAAACGTTTTCGAGGTTAGATCATTCCTAGGCTTGGCCAGCTATTATAGATGCTTTATTAAATATTTTGCGTCAATAGCTGGGCCCATTTCCGAAATCCTCAAAGGGGAACACGGTAGTGTCAGCAGACACAGGTCCAAAAATATCCATGTGCAGTTCAGCGAGCCGCAACGGCTAGCTTTTTATAAGCTTCGTAACATTCTTGCTTCCGAGGATGTCATCCTCAGGTACCCCGACTATAAAAAAGCATTTGATCTAACGACAGATGCCTCAGCTTATGGCAATGGCGCGATGCTATCCCAAGAGGGACGGCGCATCAATATGATTTCGAGAACCTTAAAGGACAAAGAAATAAACTATGCCACCAACGAGAGGGAGCTGTTAGCAATAGTTTGGGCATTGGCCAAATTGCGCCTCTATTTATATGCAGTAAAGGATATCAATATTTTTACTGACCACCAGCCACTGACCTTCGCAGTTTCGGAGTCCAATCCGAATGCGAAAATCAAAAGGTGGAAAGCCCGCATCGATGAGTCCGGCGACAAAATTTTTTGAAAGCTAGGCAAGGAAAACCTCGTTGCGGATGCCCTCTCCCGACAGAAACTTAACGTTTTGGGAGAGGAGGAAGCATTTTCAAGTGCGGCCACGATTCACAGTGAGCTGTCACTTACCCACACTATTGAGACCAGGGACAAGCCGTTGAACTGCTTTCAGAACCAGATAACTCTGAAGGAAGCACGCTTTCCATCGAAGCGCAGTTTCAGTCTCTTCGGAAACAAGAAACGACACAGCATTGACTTTACATGCAAGGAGTCATTGCTTGAAGAGCTCGCGGACATTATCGTACCTAGGGGCGTTAACGCCATTCATTGCGATTTGCACACGCTAGTAATTATACAGGACGAATTGGTTCGACAATTTCCACCCACCAAATTTTGGCATTGCAAGAACCGTGTTACGGACATCTTTGCAGCTTCTGAGAGGCGAGAAATCTACACTGTTGGGCACAGCAGGAAGCTCGGGGAAACGCCAGTCCCGTCCCATGTTGGGGAAATGTTACACATAGACATCTTCTCAACGGACAAAAAATATTTTCTTACATGCATTGACAAATTCTTCAAATTTGAGATGGTCCAGCCAATCCCCTCTAGAACCATAGAGGACATTAAACCGGCACTACTACAACTCATGAATGTTTTCCAGAAAGCCAAACTCATAAATTGCGATAACGAACCATCGTTGAATTCACACACTATTTTGACCATGCTAGAAAACCATTTAAGCATTAGCATCTCGAATGCACCGCCCCTCCACAGTGTCTCAAACGAATAAGTGGAACGTTTCCACAGCACTCTTGATAAAGGCGACACCGTCGTGCTAATCCTGCTGGCCACAGCCAGATATAACAAATCTATCCATTCAGTCATTGACAAGAAGCCAGCCGACGTAATTCTAACACAGTCGGATAAACCACAGTATGATGTTCAGAATAGGATAAACTCGTCCAAGATAAGCTCAGAAACAAGGAAAATGCTTCCCGACAGAACAGGGTGTTCAAAGCCTAGCCCCTTTGCGTAAGTTTTTTATCATTATTAATTTTAAGTCATACCTTACTTTTCACGCTTTGGTGGTGGGTTGCCCCATTAATTCAAACTATTACAATATATTCAAATTACAGCTTTATATCCATACCCCTACTTCTCCTTCCTACCGCAACATCGGCGCATGTCACGAACTACTCTAAAGCTAAGTACATTCCCATCGTCGATGGTAGAATTTTAGTATGGGAGGAATTCGCGTACGTGAAACATTCGTCGAACCTCGAATATAGGCGCGCTATAATAGAAACTGAAGGGATGACCAACATGTTCCCCCAATCGCATATCCAAAAGCTTTTGAGCGTTGATACCGCTCATCTACGCGACCTGCTCGAATCTCTGAGCATTCATAATAGAGTAGCCAGAGGCTTAGACTTCTTAGGGACAGTATTAAAGGTAGTGGCGGCAGCGCCAGACGCAGAAGATTTTGAAAAAATTAGGTTCAATCAATTCCAACTAAATAATGCAAGCAATAGGCAAATAAATATCAACAACAAAGTACAGGACCACATCAATAGAATTTCCACCAATGTCAATCAAATTCTGAGGTCGGCTAAAGAGTCCCAGGTCGACACGGGACATCTATTCGACATGTTGTTAACTCGAAATAGAATGATGACAATGGCGATGCAAAGTCTTATCCTTGCTGTAGCTCTTGCAAAAGTCAATATTGTTAGCCCTAGCATATTAAATCACGCAGACCTGGAGAATGTTTGATTGGAAGAGCCCACCGAGACCGCGATTAAAGATGTTTGTCCGTAGCGTACGTAAAAATCTTACAATCCACTAACATTTTACATTTCATTATTCAATTTCTTAAAATCAAATCAGCCTGTTATAAGATTACTTTTTTTCCTGTGTCGCATCACGACACCATACTCGGGCTGGAAGATAACGTAATAGCGGAATGTGACTGAGAGATCCATGCGGTGAAGAATTGCTTCACAACCCCAGAGGTTACCTTTTGCCAGATGGCGCTAAGAAGATCGTGCGCCCAGGAGCTCCACGCTGGAGGCGCCGCGCATTGCAAAATCCAGAAAAGTAACCTGCATCCCATCTACGTTGACGATGGGATTCTCATGGTAAATAATCGCGCAGCTCGTGTGAGTGTGGACAATGGCACTTACATCCACATCCAAGGCACTTACCTCATCACCTTTAACGAATGTGCCACAGTGAACGAAACCCGATACGTTAATTATGACGTGCCCCAAAAAAGGCCTCCAGGAATACTCCCAGGGGGGAGTAGTTAGCCTTTAAGTTGATTTATAAATTCAGTTTGACTTTTGCGCTTGACGAATAAAGAACAGAAGTTATAAATGATCAAAATAACTCCGGCGTCAGTCGTTATATTATTTGCATTCGGCCACTGAGCTTAAGGCCAGGGGTATAGGAGGGCAGGCACCCTCTCAACGAAGTCTTCACCTGACACATTATCGAGCACCCTGCCGGTGCCACAACATTAGCGGCCATACAGGAGCAGCCCGGCCACCAATTCTACCTGGACGAAAGTTCCTGTTCAACAAGCACCCCCCATACTTGTAAAAATTGATTGAAGATAAAATATATTTTTTATAAATTAGTCTAAAAAATTTCATTTTCTTTTTATTTCTATTATACGTTGGCATATACATTTATTTAAATTATTTACACGCTCAATTTAGCGACTTCAATTTTAAAAGTTATATTGTTGATTAACAGGGTCATATGGCATATGGCATACGATATATGACATCACAACATAATCTGGACCCTTCATTATATGGATTGTAAATTGAAGTAAATAGTCTGTGAGAATTTAATATAATGCATGAACAAAGACTGAGGTTTTGATGCAAACCTAATATTCATTTGTAGGTTTGTATCTTAAGTTCCATTCCATAGTATCAAATAATATCGAAATTGTTGACATTTTTATCATACCTATAATAATTATATATCACAACATTTAATTTAGTATTGCGTAAATGTAATTGAAGTGAACAGCATTCTTATGTTAATTAAAAAGCTTACTAAAGTACACATGCTCTTAAGTAAATTGATAAAATATGTTTTATTATTTGTTCATTAAGTCTACCTGTGCAGTGTTGTTTGTTTATACAAATTATACAACTACAAAATGCATGCTGAATAATGAAGGAAATATGTATATGGATATGAATGTACGTACATATATATGAGGAAAGTAACAACAGAAGGCAAAATTATCTGGAATACTGAAATATTTTACATGTAAAAATTTTCTTATACAAGTATCAAGTTAATACATACTTATGTACATTAATACATACTTATGTACATTAATACATACATATGTATACATGTACGTGCTCTCTTTATTTTTAAAGCTAATCATATGTATGTATGTACATACGTACATATATGTACTGAAGTTACGAATGGCATTTTATATATAAATCACACTAATGAATTTAACAAATTATCAGATTTTCATCATCGTGGCTTTGATCGATTTGGTCACTAGGTGTAAAAAAGTGCCTTCAACTTAAGGATCTGTATCTTTGGCATTATAAAACCTGAAAACTTTGTGGAGCAATAGTAGAACTAATGAAAAGTAGGGTTCTTCATCTATGTACTGTTAGTCAATAAGGTCTTCGTTGCGAGGTACTACATTACTAAATGCATGTTTTTCCTAATGAAAGAGTGAAAACAAAAAAAAAATTAACAAGTTCTAACTTAAATACTAGATTATTTCCTTAATAACACAAAAATTAAGTTTTATACGCACAAAAATTATTCGTACACTTCATAAAATGTTAAATAAAACAACAATTCTAAAGATTTAAGGATTTTAATCTTTAGTGGGTTCTTTGTTTGCCTTAATGGTCGTCTCGTCACCATCAATTGAATCCCATTCAGCTCTTAATGCGGTTTTTATGGATTCCTTCGAGGATATGTTGTCCTCTTCTGGAGGAAATCCCATAAATGTTCTATAGGATTCAAATCTGATGATGTTACTCAAGTGATATAAAAGCTACTATTGCACTAAATACAACAAATATTTCCGGTCGTTATCTTATTGAAATACCAAAGACGCTGGATTCTGTCCAAGTTTCAGGGCAATTGGAATTAAATTTTGGAATAAAATAAATGTCTTTATAGACAAATTTATTAATTTTATCTTCCATAAAGATCAAGTTTTTTCCTTCATGGCTTCATTTGCATTTTGACATACTTTATTTGCCGTATTTACAGCTTTATGCTCCTCCCGTGGTGTTAATATGTGGTTCCTTCCAGATTTTCTATGTTCTACTGGAAATTCTCCAGTGTTTACGTATTTTTTTTTATCAAACTTTGCATTGTGGAAGGTGACTTGACAGTATTTCTACCAATTTCGGGTTAATTGGGGTTCGCTAAATATAATTTTATTATAGTTTTTCGAAAATTTAGGGGTATATCTTGACCCTGACCCATTTCGTCCAAATACAGCAAAAAACAAGACGAAACGCTATAGTCTAGTGCTGCGACTATAAGATACCCGTTACCGTTTTACACAATTTTAAAATATTCATTTTGCTAGCTGAAATTAACCTAAATTTCTTCATAAGTAGCGAAATAATGTTCCGATTTGAAAACTCTTTGATAAATCGATAGATATTAACAGAAATAAGTTCACAAGGTCAAACGAAGGCATTCATAATATTATTATAGACGCCACAGTGTTCCGCGGTTTGTAGGCGTTAGAGTGGGCGTGGCCGAATAAAAACCGGTGGAAAGTTGCAGTGGCATCTCTAAAATACGTATTCTTAAGCCTAACTTTCTAGCTCTTTTAGTTCCTGGAATTTTTGCATTTTTGGTTTTTCGGGTTTTGTGGGCGTTAGGGTGGGCGTGGCTAGATGGAAAAAAAAACAATTCGCATTTGGGGCATCATAAAAATCTACATGCGTAATCCGAACTTTCTATCACTTATAGTTACCGAGATATCAGGTTTTCTTGAAAATGCGAAAACCGTCTTTTAAGCTTGGTGGGCGTATGGGAAGGTGTGCCCAGATAATAGTACCACTAAAAGATGCGCTGGCATCCAAAGTTTATACATACTGAATTTCAACTTTCTAGCGATTTTAGTTTTTCGTGATTTGTGGGCGTTAGAGTGGTCGTTGAAGGATGCTGTAATAAACTTGCGCTGTCCCGGGACCTCAGGAATCTTTATGCTTAATCTCATCTTTGTATCTGTTATAGTTCCTGAGATCTCAGCGTTCATACGGACGGACAGACGGACATGGCTCAATCGACTTCGCTATTGATCCTGATCAAGAATATATATACTTTATAGGGTCGGAAACGCTTCCTTCTATCTGTTACATACTTTTCAACGAATCTAGTATACCCTTTTACTCTACGAGTAACGGGTATAAAAAGTACAGCGAAGCTTGCTATGAATTACAGTTCAAATGCGAAACGCGGATTACCGTTGTATTCAGAAATATAAGTCAAGAATGAGAAGTGTACAAATAATTTTTGTGCGTAAAAAAAAAACTTTTGGAAATTATCTGGTATTTAAGTTAAAACTTGTTAATTATATGTTTAAAATATATGCTCGAAATGTAAATTGCCTTATTGAAAGAATGGCGTAAAATTCCAGTGGAAACCACAAAAAAATTGGTCGAATCCTTCACAAATCGTTTAAAAGTCGTCAAGAAAAATAAAGGAGGTCCAACCAATTATTCAAATTAGGAAATAATAAAGTTACACTAGTTTTAGATTTTGTATGAAAAATTCGTTTGTTTTTTAAATTATTAAAAACTTTTTTATCTCTGCTAGTTTAGTAGCTGTGTTAAATTTAAACTTTCATTTTTTCTTGCACGAAATAAGCTTGGAGTCACTGTAACTTTAAATTTTTTGGTTGGTTTTGTTGTGCAAACTGAAAACTATTTAAAAACAGTAAGTTTTCTCAGGCACCCTCGCAACTAATACTTTATTGACTAACTATTTATAAACAAAAAGGTATTGCAATTTATACCCGTTGCTCGTAGAGTAAAAGGATATATTAGATCCGTTGAAAAGTATGTAACAGGTAGAAGGAAGCGTTTCCGACCCTATGAAGTATATATATTCTTGAGCAGGGTGAATAGCGCAGACGATTGAGTCATGTCCGTCTGTCTGTCCGTATGAACGCTGAGATCTCAGTAACTATAAGAGATACAAAGTTGAGATTAACCATGAAGATTCTTGAGGTCCCTACGCTACAAAAATCGTTTTAAATGTAACAATAGTGTTTAATTTGAAATAAAAACTTAATTGGATCATTAAGATATACGTGCATTTGGTCATGTAGTACCTCGCAACGAATAGTTTATTGGCTAACTGTATATTTATGTATACAGGGTGACCCATATCTTAGTGCCAAATCAAAAACACGAATACCTATTTTTTTCTTAGTTTTCCTGTAAACCTATGAAAAACGAAGCAATTGACCCCCTTTTTAATTTTTTTTACATTTTAAATGTTACAATAGTGTTTAATTTGAAATAAAAACTTAATTGAACCTTTTTTACAATTAATTTTAACTAATTAAAAAAGCAATATCAATTAAGGGGCCACCTTTAAATAAATTGAGCTCTTCTCGCCTTATTATACCCGTTACTCGTAGGGTAAAAGGGTATAGTAGATTCGTTGAAAAGTATGTAACAGGTAGAAGGAAGCGTTTCCGACCCTATAAAGTGTATATATTCTTGATCAGGATCAATATCGAAGTCGATAAAGCTATGTCCATTTGTCCGTATGAACGCTGAGATCCAAAGAATACAAAGTGAAGATTAGCCATGAAGATTCTTGAGGTCCCTACGCAGCGCAAGTTTATTACAGCATTCTGCCACGCCCACAAATCGCGAAAAACGAAAATCGCTGAAATCTCAGGAACCATTAGAGCTAGAAATTTGAAATTCAGAATGTATAATCTTTAGATGCCAGCGCATCTTACAGTAATAACTTATAATGATAATACTATCCGGCCACACTCACCTATACGCCCACAAGGCTCTAAAGTCGGTTCTCGCTGATATCTCGGTAACGATAAAAGAGAGAGCATGTAGGTTTTAATGATGCCCCAAATGCAAATTAATTTTTTCTTATCTACCCACACCTACTCTAACGCCCACCAACCGCGAAAAACTGTGGCGTCTATAATATTATTATAAATGCATTCGTTTGTCCTTGTATAACTTATTTCTGTTAATATTTATCGATTTGCCAAAGATTTTTTAAATCGGAACATTATTTTGCTATGTATGAAGAAATTTAAGTTATATGGCTCCACATGGGCAGTGACCTCACTATCAGTTACTCAACATGCTTTCTCTGAATTTCCACTAGTGAATTTCCACTAGCAAAATGAATATTTTAAAATTGTGTAAAACCGTAACGGGTACCTTATAGTCGCGGCTTTTGACTATAGCATTTCCTCTTGTTTTTATTATTATTTTTAAGTTTTTAGAAATAGAAGTTACATATGTATGTAGTTTGAAATAGAGATAAATAAATTTATTTTCTAAAAAAAATGTATATATATATATGATAATCCAAAAGAGCCCATTCTTAACGGTGAAGCGTAGAACAACTGTACAATAAATAATGGAAATGGAAAAAATTCTATTCAACTTTTTATATTATATTTAAATGATTTATTTATACAAAATAATAAAAAATAAATGCTAAAAAATCCATTAACTATAACAGCAAACTCAAAAATAATAACTGTACGTGTCGAAATTCGAGGACCATGATTAGACAAGATAAATTCCATCAAATGATTGTTTATATGATTGATATGCAGTTACTTCAAACGAGAATTGTTGAACTTCGACAGTTTTTAAAAGGATAAAAGACTAATTAATTCGTTTGAAATTCCTGAAATAATCTTCATAAATCATGAAGTTACTAGAGAGTTCACGTTTTGAAGCAATCAACAACGCACTTTCTATAAAAACAAGTGGAATCACGATCTTTGGCCGCATAGAAAGTTACTCATGGTATGTTGCGTATGTTACGTTTAAAGTTTTTTAAATTTGAATTTATTTTAGCAAAATGGTTGCAGCTGAAAAAGTATTGTATAAACGTTTTACAGCAGATATGCATGGGCATGATCTTCAAGCGCTGTCACCACCCCAAACTTTGACAGACTTTTCGCCTAACTTTGGCCGAAATAACAGTCAATCTGGAGATGAAGGCATTACTCTTTGTGATACTATTTCTAGAAAGACATTGTTTTATTTAATTGCAACTTTAAACGCATCGTTTGAACCCGATTACGATTTTTCAGAAGCTAAGGTAAGTTTTATTTTAAAGTACATTTTTTGTTAATTTTAAAGCTCTTTGAAGTCCCATGAATTTAGTAAGGAGCCATCATTGCAATGGGTTATGAATTCAATAAATTCAAATCTATCAGCATTAGCTGGTGATCAATATCAAGTTATTCGCCAGCCATTATGGTCTGCCGTTGATGACGAAGTAATTTTATCAGAATGTGACATATATAGTTATAATCCAGATCTGAGTTGCGATCCTTTTGGAGAACCAGGATGTTTGTGGTCGTTTAATTACTTCTTTTATAACAAGAAACTAAAACGGATTGTATTTTTTACAAGTCGTGCAGTAAAGTATGTACTACATGTCATGACTTATACAAACTGTTAAAACTTACCTTTTTTCAGTTCTCTTTATGCGGGGGAAACCCCCGATTTTTCCATGGAAGAAGATGTGTATTAGGAAAGTATTTTCACACATAATAAATCTGTACACAAATAAAATGCAACATAACAACATGGATTGGACAAGCTTGTGCGATTTTGAGTTGTTATTTTCACCACATCTCTCCGTAGTTTAAAAAAACTTAAAAAATACATATTTATAATAAAAAGATTATGTTATAATAAGAATAATAATAAAAGCTTATATTTCAATTTTTTGCATTGTCAATATTCAAAACTACAATTCCTGGGATCTCGGCGTTTTTACTTTAAACAGACAAGCGATACAAATTATTCATACCTTGTAGGGTCGAAAACTATCGAGTAATGGGTAAACTTATTTCCAGCACAGTTTTGGGGAAATCTAGTTTATTGAAATTAAAAAAAATTGTGGTATTTGAAAGTTAATTTTGAGAGAGAAAAAATAAATACTTTAAAAAATAAAAAAAATAAAAAAAATAATAATAAAAAAACAAGTTAATTTTGAGAGAGAAAAAATTAATATATGCATTCAGATAAACACCTACATAAATTTGAAGTATATTAAGACTAAATTCTTGTTATAGAAATCTATTCCTTTCTTAATTCTATATATAAAAAGTAGATTTAAAGATAATAATTTTGATAGGACAAAAAAATATTCTTGTTTTTGAAATCTATATACATATATAAAAATGAATGTCCATGTATGTCCGCTATAGACTCGTAAACGTCTGGACCGATTTTGATGAAATTTTTTGTACGTGTTCATGGGAGCTACGGGCGTGTTTAAAAACCATAAATCGTAAAAATGTAAAACTAGGAAAATTGATTGAAAATTTGGAAAATTGAGTAAAGTTGGCAGCTCTAGCACTTAACAGCTGAGGGAGTATGTGGAAACCTCTAGAAATTAGGGTGGCAGCCCTTTCTTAAACAGTTAAATTTGAAATTTTGTTTATTTGTTTTAAGGGTTTTTTTATGTGATTACGTAAGAATTTATATAAATTGTGAAATTTATGTCGTTTTTATATAAATGGATAGATACTGGTAATAATATCATTTGCGTGTGGTCACCGAAGGGGGAGGGTTCTATAAGAAAAAAAGTTTAATTTTAGGACTGGAAAACTTATTACCGTTTATTGTAAGACATAACGGGAGACCCACGCTACCGTCTATGTCGCCGTGGTGCCGGGGTCAACGTCCGGTGAACAGCTTTTTCTTGAACGACTGCAGATGTACCGTTCGGCGGCGCCTTGCAATAGTCGGCGGGTTATGTAACCAGGCCGGCGGGGCTTGCATCACACGAGGTCTCCTGGCCGATGCTCGCCAGGTGAAGATGTCTTCTTGGTCAGCGGCGGGTGTTCCGTGATGTGGCGCCTTCGCGGATGAGGGTGTAGGACGTCATTTAGACGTCTTTAAGGAATACGGTGAAAGGAACTACCTTCGAGCCCTACGTGCCCTTACAGCAAGCTAACCCAAATCTGAAATATATCGACTTCCGCCGGGGTAACTCTCCTTGAGCGACTGCTCTTTATTGGAATACAAAAGATGACTAAAACTACAAAGCAATCTCAGCATTGTCGCCGAGCCAGCAGCGCAGCCACGCCACGCTGCCCGTCACATCGATTTATCTGCCTATGTCGGTGCCCGAAGACAAAGTTTAAACTCTTCTGCATGTCGGCAAGTCGACCCACGGAGAGCGCAGATTGTGCGAACGCAAGTACCCGAAATCTTAGCTCCAATCTAGGGTGACCCAAAAACTACCAGGGAAAGGTACGACCTACTGTTACCCTTAACTTATATATTTACAGTAGCAGGGCTATATTCTTGTAGTTAGCTTTTGGAGTTACAGATTGATTGTGCCTGTGATTCAATTTTAGTCTTTATTTTGCATTCTTTATGGTCTATAACGTCTATAAAGGGTTAATTTTTATATTTATTTTGGGTTATTTTATTGAATGCGAGGTTTCATTTTCAAATTTCAAACAGAACGCAAATTAGTATTTAACATACGTTAAAGGAGATAAGTCCAAGTGACCAGTTCAAAGTTTTAAAAAATTTTTGTGGGTGTTGGGAATATAATTTCAAGTTTGGGTGAGTTTTTGTATGACTTTTAAAAAGGTGTACATTGCAATTATTATTATATTAATTACAAAATTAAAATTTATTTTTTTTTAAAACAGTTTATATTTTACTCAAATTTTTATAAAAATTTTTTCCTATATTTATATTTTTGTTCTATTTATTGTGTTAAAAAAAAAAACAATTTAATTAAATATGTTGAGTACATTTCTTTATAAAAATTGAAATTTGTTTTTTTTAAACAGTTTTTATTTTTATTGCAATTCAACGTTTTATAAAGATTTCTTTTGAAATTCATTTAAATTTTTAGTTTTCCTTAATTTTTTGTATATTTTCTTAAAAACGAAATGTAATTGGCCGATATATAACGGCCAAGGGTATTTCGGGCCTCAGAATCAGACAAGCATTGAGGTTAGAAAGTCTTCGAGTGCATGCCGCTAAGACCGGTTCGTCTAAATCACCTGAACGACGGGAAGTAAAGTTAGAAAGTTATCGAGGAGCGATGCGCAGGCCCTTTCGTCTGCGATTCATCAACAACGGAAAAGTCTCCGGCAAAATGTTCGAGCAAGAGTGGTTCAATCAAGACGAACACTATGCATTGAATTAAATCTTACTGTATTCCAGGTGTCGTCATTGAAAAAAAGGTTAAAGTTTGCACGCCAGGGATGTCTTGGTCCACGCTTCTCACATGGGCAGCTTTATGTGGCATGATCGCGCGCGGAAAATTTTCTGATTTATTCGTTTACGCACCTGATAGAAAAACAAGAATCATTGTATATCCCAAAGCACTTCAATAAATTTTAAATACAAACCTAAACGAAAATTATTTTATTTTGCCCGCGCATATATAAAAAATCCTTTAAATTTAAACGCTAAATTTCGGGTCTCTCTGCCGTCAAAGGCAAGAGAGTTGAGTGCAGACGCGTTTTTGCATTGCTGCGAATTTCATTGTGTAGAGTCTAGATCAGATATATAAATTATATTAAGACATAACGGGAGACCCACGCTCCCGTCTATGTCGCCGTGGTGCCGGGGTCAACGTCCGGCGAACAGCTTTTTCTTGAACGACTGCAGACGTACCGTTCGGCGGCGCCTTGCAATAGTCGGCGCGTTATGTAACCAGGCCGGCGGGGCCTGCGTCACACGTGGTCTCCCTGGCCGATGCTCGTTCGTTCCGTGATGTGGCGCCCTCGCAGGTGACCGGGTGTAGGACGTCATTTAGACGTCTTTAAGGAATACGGTGAAAGGAACTACCTTCGTGCCCTACGTGCCCTTACAGCAAGCTAACCCAAATCAGAAATATATCGACTTCCGCCGGGGTAACTCTCCTTGAGAGACTGCTCTTTATTGGAATACAAAAGATGTCTAAAACTACAAAGCAATCTCAGCATTGTCGCCGAGCCAGCAGCGCAGCCACGCCACGCTTCGGTCACGCTGCCCGTCACATCGATTTTTCTGCCTATGTCGGTGCCCGAAGACAAAGTTTAAACTCTTCTGCATGTCGGCAAGTCGACCCACGGAGAGCCCAGATTGTGCGAACGAATTATGTCCAAGTCCCCGTGAATAGGTTTATGTTCAAATAAATGTAAGCTTGAGGCTTAAGATCAACTTATGCTTTTGAGTGTCCGTTCTAGACTGATTTTTATTTTCGATCTTGTACATAAAGAAGCTTTGTCTTGCGGGTGGGGTACATTTGTTGAGTAAGCGATCCCTTTTTATTGTGTTGCAGGTTGCTTCCTTGTCGTCCAGAAGATTGTTGAGGCATTCCGTGTTATTCGGAGTCGAAGGAGTTTCGCAAACATGTGTACCCCCCACTTTTATGCAAGGTGTATCTATAATCCTAATTTCTACATCATTCTTAATTATAACATTTGGTAGGTTTACATACATTGTTTTGTTTATCGGTAGTGCAATGAGTTGATACAATTTGTAGGATTGTTGGGACAGAATTGGAACTTTAATGTTAAATATGAGCGTTTTATTAATAGTGGTGGACTCCAATGAAAGCGCATTATATAATTCATGTTCTAAGTGAACTTCTACCTTTTGGTCTGCTAACATACTTTTTATTTTTTCATTTCTACTGAATTTAATAGGTATTTAGGGACTATCTTTAATTTAGCAAATAGTAGGCTTTCCGCAATATTGTTTATGTGATTATAAAGTAAATCTATATTGAAAATAATCCTGTCTATATATTGAACTGAATGTTCTTGTGTTCCTCATCTATTTGTTTAAAAATTTTATTCTGATAGCAAGTCATAAAGCTGCTTATAAGCTCTTGTTCTTTATTAATGTGTTTAGTTATTTCCTCAAATCTTATAAGTGTTTCATTTTGGAAAATATTGTTTATTTCGGAATTTTCGCGTAAGCCTTCTAAGTCTTTGTTTATTTTTGCCTCATCATAAGCGTCCATATTCCCCGAAACTATTTTAACTAACTGGCCTAATCCATTAATTAATCCTCTTCTGGCCCTACCTTTCCCATTTTTGGGAAGATAATTTTTGATGTAAGGTGAGTTTAAAATCTCCAAAACCCTGATCGTTAGGTAGTTTTCCTATCACCTCATGTATTTTAGTTGCTGTTTCTTCGTAGTTGCTCAATTGAATAATATGTTTAAAAATTTTAAATGATTTTACCACTCTCGCCGTTCCCAGGTTAATTTTCATGAGAGGTTGATCTTTATCCAAAATCTCGCTAACGAGGCGTTGAGTTGTTCCCAAGGTCAACCTGTAAAATTACATTGGGGGTATAGTTATGCAAGTCTCGCAAGTATGTTTATGTGTCATTTGTCTGTATTATAGCTTTTCGGACCTTTTGTTTGTGTAGTTTTTGTTTTTTTTATAGTTCGTAATGTTACCCCTTTATCCAGTAAAACCTTGTGTTTACTAAAACGAGGCGTAATTTTATTTCTCCTATTTTCTTTACGAAAAATAGAAGTACCAGCTGGTAAATCAAGGGGGTCTGTCCTGTTTTCGTTTAAGCGATCTGTTCGTTTTTTTGTTGCGTCTTCCATGTGTTTCTTCAAGGTAGGGTGTAGTTTAATTTGGAATTCGTTCAGTTTTTGTAAATAATCGTGTTCATTGTCAAATTTGATTGTCTTTTTGAAAATATGAGTGCGGCCGCTAAAAAGTTCGAACGGACTTAAATTG